TGTGGGGCAGATGTGCGCACTTGGAAGGAGTCTAGAGAAAAAGCACCCGGGGCTGTGCAGACAGAACTTTGCGCACCAAGAGCTCACTGGATGTTACTAGTGTTTTGAAAGGCCTGAGGAAGAAGAGTGGACTGGTTCTCGTGAGAGGTCGATTTCATGCACAGCCCGACCACCCACCCCCACCTCCGAGGCTCCGCAAGGGGGCCGAGCCCTCCAAGAACACTAGGGGGACATGCTTAGGGGCAGAAGCAAGCTGATGGAAGACTATTTAAAGATATTTGCTTCTGGAGGTTTCTTCGTAGGAAACTTGGGGTCAAGGTACTGGAAACAGAAGCTTACTGTGTCACATCTAGAAGGAATAGGTATCAGATAAGGTCCAAGTGTGTAGAGAAACAGCAGGGCTTCTAGAAGGAGCTGTAGTGCCTTGTTGGCCTTCATCTGTCACGAGGTATTTAAAGTACACAGACATGGTACGAACTACATGTTATGTTCCCTACTAGACCCTCCATACAGATGCTGCATGATTCCACTTACTTGAGGCATCTAGAATACTCCACCTCATAGAAGCTGGAATAGAACGGTGGTTGCCAGGCGCTGGGGGTGGGGAGGGGGTGGGCACAGGGAGTCGCTGTTCGGTGTGCAGAGTTCCAGTCAGGCAAGTGAGTTCTGGAGATCTGTATGTCATCCTGCCTGTAATTAGTACCGTATTATACACTTAAAGATTTGTCAAGAGGGCAGAACTCATCTTGAGTGTTGTTATAACACCCACCCCCCCCACCCCCACACACACACCCAGCATTTTCCCCTGGTTAATAGTTTCACAAAATAACAGCTCTCAGTGGGCCTCAGAATCTTCCCTGCATTCGTGTGTCTCTCGCAGCCGAGCAAACAGCACCACCCCGTGTGAAGTTGTCCCTTTGGGGCGTGGATCCCAAACAGAGAGGCTTTCAGTTTACTTTCCTGGGAAAGTGTGAAAAACCTCTGTCAAAGGGCACTGACGTTCCACGAGAAGAACGAGCCAGGTTTCACTTATATT